TGAATTGTGGTATAGCAAGATTTGCAAATCAGACAATTCGTTCCAGTACGGTAGCTGCTCGAATTTGCCCGTTCGAACATTCAAGGTGACGCGCCCATGGATGAGTTGCCATTCTTGGATTCAAACATTGGTATTCTTGCAGCACCTGGCTTCGGGCTCCGCTGCAACTTCACACTCTAGCGCCGATACGACCATCACACGAGCAGTGAATCCTCTCCTCGGCCTAACCATCTGTGATGTCGTCGTCTGCGCAACCGCTGCAGGAAGACTCGGTAGCATTCTTCACAAACATAGGGACCATGGCTGCTGCAATTTTTGAAAAGTCTGACGTCCACTCCTCTCGGATCTCTGCATATTCTGACCGCGTGGTTGCAGTACGTGATGCATTCAAACTACTTTACGGCAAAGAGCCGATGCTTATCTCTCGAGCACCAGGTATGTGGGATAGTGAGGTTGAACAGTACGAACAGCTGTTCCGCTTGTGTAGAGAGGTCAAATTCTTGAGTCATCGTCGCCTTCACGGTTACAAAACATGCCCATTTCTGAGCCCGGCTGGACGCAGGGCGTGTGAATCTCATCGGCGAGCACATTGACTACGAGGGGTACGCGGTGCTGCCCATGGCCATTCACCTGGATACCCTTGTCGCCATCAGCTGTGCACGGACGCCAAGCACGGGGACACCTGCGTGTAAGGAAGACTCGCCTTTCCCGCCTCGCCTGCGCGTGGCGAACATGGACCCCGTCAAGTACCCTGCCACGGAGTTCAGCATCCACGCCAAGCAGGTAGCTCGAAGCTCACGGCCCATAGCTCAGGCCGCATATAACTCAGCCCACAGGCGCTCGATTTTATCTGTCTGTCAGGTCGACCTGTCTAAGTCGACCAGCTGTCCCGTGAAGCCTGTTGATCCAGCAAGTGTCAATCTGTACTTGAGTCAGGCATAATGTTGAGTTCAATGCCTTGCAGGAAGTTGATACAAGCAACCACAGCTGGGGCAGCTACTTTCTTTGTGGGTATGGTTCCTCCTCCGTCAAAAAATCGCTGCTTACAATCTATTTTTGTTCTTTTTAAAAGGTAATCTCACATGCTTGTTTCTTTTACTGCACGTTTAAACTATTGTGCCACTTTCTGTGCTTCATGCTTGTGTTGTGCAATCAGATACAAGGGCGTCTGGGACCACGTGCACGAGACAGGGGGTAGAGAGGAACCAACTCTTGGTCTTGATGTGCTTGTGGATGGCTGCGTGCCTCTTGGTGAGAAGAACATTGCCCTCTGGTTCCCCGTGCGCGCTTGTCATTCTCCATGCCCGTACAAGTTCGTGTTCTCCCACCTCAGCCACCTCATTTGGACCTCTGCTCGCTTCTCCGTCTTAGGGCTCTGGTGCTTACCTACTTTGCTGCCCGTCTGTCTCTTCTCATGCGCCACTGTGTCCAGGGTCTGGCCTCTCCAGCTCAGCTGCCCTCGTGTGTTCCGCTGCCATCGCTGTCATGGCCGCCCTTGGATTCTCCTTCCCCAAGGTGCTGCTCCCGCCCTCATTCTCTCTTGTTGCTCCCTCAAATGTGTCTCCTCATCCGTTTCTTTTCTTAAGCCTTTCTGTGATGCTTTCCCTGAAAGTCACGTGGCTCTGTCTCTCCCTAAGTATCTCTTCTTACTGCCTCCCACTCAGGCGGAGATAGCTGACCTGGCATGCCGCTGCGAGCGATACATCGGCACTCAGTCTGGCGGCATGGACCAGGTGACGTTCGTTCCATGCTCTAACTGTCCCCCCCCAAGCGTGCTTGTTCTTGCAAGGGAAGGGATACAGCACAGGTAGCAAACATACATAGAGAGTCCGCGAGCACAGCTTAGTAGGAAGCCGAGGGTGAGTGCACCATGTGCAGCAGAGTGAGTCGAAAGGGGTGGCTTAAGGGTAGACAAATTGTAGGGAGGGGGGAATGGGCATGAGAGAGGTGGATTGTTTAAGAGCAGCTGTGTTGGGCTTGCTCCATGCGACGCTCGCTGCGACTGAGGTGGTCATGCAGTGCTGGTGGCCATGGCATCCTAGCTTCCAAGTGGTCGTGCTGAGGGGTCTGCAGCACCACGACTAGCGCTGTCAGGTGGTGCGGAGCTCAAACAGCTGCATGGGGAAGCATGTCCGCTATGGGCTTTAACTGCCATGGCAAGCTGTCAGCCCTTATATCACATATGTGGCACAGGGAGCTCACCCTCCCTCTATTCACCCCCGCAAGAAGCATGAACTGAGTTGCACATCTCCCTTTCACTGCTTCCATGCGTGCCCGGTTTCTCCCAGGCCATTTCCATCTTTGGAGAGCGCGGCGTGGCGCAGCTGATAGAGTTCAACCCCGTGAGGGCGCACCCGGTGCCGCTGCCGTCCACCGCCGTCTTCGTGATCGCCAACTCCCTGGCAGTCTCCAAGAAGGCCGAGACTGCCGCCACCAACTACAACCGCCGGGTTGTTGAGTGCCGCCTCGCCGCTGTGAGTTGGGGGACGAGCAAAGCGTGGGCGGCTGTGTCATGCTGCAGGTTCGGAATATTGGTGATGGTGCGCGCTTCTGTTCTTGCACCCGATTTCATTGGTCCATTCCTTTTCCCATTCCTCCATGTGTTCCCCACGGCACCAGATGGTACTGGCAGTGCGGCTGGGCATGGAGCCTGCCACAGCCCGCACCTCCATCAGCACACTGGCAGACGTGGACGCCCTCTGTGCTGCCAGCAGCGCGTCACCACAGCCACCGGACGAGCACGCTGCGCTGGATGCAGTGCGGGTGAGTCCTGCCTGCACACCGCATGCCATGCCACGTCTGCTCCTTTCCCAGCAGGACAGCCAATTCCCAAACAGTGGGTTACAAGGCCCACACTTGTCAGTGTCACTCTGCACACCTGTGATTCTAAGCTGCCTTGGTCTGCCTGTGTGTGCTTCTGATCTTCCCTGCAGCGCTGCCTGCATGCGGACCCGTACAGCGCGTCAGAGATTGAGGCTCTTCTTCAAGCACCACTTGCCTCTGTCTTTGCCAACTCACCAACCTCCCTCGCTGTCATTGCTGCCGCCACCGAATTCAAGTTACAGCAGGTGTGCTCGCTCATGTAGCAACGCATGCTCGTGTTCACTCTGAAGTTATGCCCCAAGAGCTATGCTCATTGTCTTGCCACCCCGTAGCTGCTCAATTGTTGAACTTTGGCGGTCGAGGTCAGCAGCCAGCAAGGGTGCCTTAACGTGATCACCATTTCTTGCCTTTCCCCGGATGTGCATGCATGAACGCTAGCTCAGTCTGTCATGTCGACACCCCTGTCTGTAGCATTGACTGGGTCCACCTACATGTGCGTCCCTATCTCATTCCCTTGTCACATCCTCCATGCGCCCTCTGCACCCACCTGCGTGGGTGCAATTGTGTGTGCTTGTGCATGCATGCACCCACGTGGCATCCACCGCATGATGCCAGAGGGCTCTTCATGTGTATGCGGAAGCTCATCGCGTCTTTGCATTCAGGGACGCTGCTCTCTCTGCACCTTCTGACTCGTAAGCCACTTCGTTTGTATCCCTCTCTCCACCTCGTTGGGTTTTTTCCTTAATGTGTCATGTGCACTGTTCACACAACCCCTCGTTATCTCAGTCTGGATGTGCATGAAGAGTAAGACGAGGGCATGCGAAACCAGGGCACATGAGCATGACCTAGATTGGGAGCCAATGCACGCTCTATTCAGGATTATCTCAGCACCTGCCGCATCCTTCCTATTGTTGACTGTCTTGCTTGGAGTCTGCATATGTTGCTTATTGGTTCATTGAGGAACCATCATCTCTGTCCCTCTCATCTTTTTGCATAACCGCTCATTCCTCTTAACCGTCCTCGCATCACCCAACATGTTGTCAGAGTCTCCCTGTTCTCCGTTTTATGTGACCCCGGAATGTTTATGACTCGTTTTTATCGCAACCTCTCGTGCTGGTTTGCACCCTTCTTGTTTTTTCACTGCCACCACAGTGGCTTTCGCGTCATGCCTTGCTGCCCTCGCGTCGCCCCGCCTCCCCCCTTCTCCTCTTCCCCCCCTCTCTCTTTGCTTCCATCCATGCTCCCTGCTGCAGCTCTGCACCCGCCCTTTCAGCAGCCCCCTCTGTGCTGCTCTCGCTTGGCCGCCTTATGGACGACAGCCATGCTAGCTGCCGCGACCTCTACGAGTGCAGGTGAAGCATGAGTTAGCATGGCAGGCACTAGTGTCTCTGGGAGGAGTGAGTGAGGTAGGCACAAGGGACGGACAGCCGGCTAGGTTGAGAGCCTAGCACTGGCCATGGAAAGGTGCAAGGCACATGTAGGAGGCTGCTGCTGTCTTGTTCTGTGCCTCTTCATTCATCTCCCCTCCACTGCGTCATCCCTTTCAGCGACTGCATCCACTCCTGCTCTCTGCATGCCGTCGTGCTGGCTTCCTCCAACGTCAACGTTAACACTCCCTGTCCGTCCCACGCCCTGCCTGGGAGTGCCACAGTTCCCCCGAGCTCGAGCAGCTGGTGGCGTGCTGCAAGGCACACGGCGCCCTGGGAGCCCGCCTCACAGGCGCTGGCTGGGGCGGCTGTGTGGTGGCGCTGGTGCACGCTCATGAGACAGACTCCTTCCTCGCGCACCTCAAGGTATTGTGGCTCAGGGCACCTTGCACTGAGCCACTTGCACTCCTGATGGAATAAGCTATTATCCTCTGCGACTCACCGCGCTCTTGTGCTTCTTCCCCTGTGCGCACTGCAGGAAGACTTCTATGCACCCAAGATTGCCGCCGGCACCATCACTGCTGCCGACCTGCCCAACTGTGTTTTTGCTTCCCACCCTGCAGCAGGGGCAGCCCTGCTCAGGCTCTGACCACCTGCGCGCCCTCCCTCCTCTGCCTGCTTTAGTTGCACATGAGTTGCAGGGCATGCTGCCCACAAGGGCTAGGTTACTTTTAGTGCCATGTCATTTTATTAATGCTTCACTATTTTACGGTACAAGCATTTCATTTCATACATGGAAAGCGTTGCCCACTATCCATGAGTGAAGCTGGGCCCACAAGCCCCGGCACCACAGCTGGCAGCAGCAGGCATCCATGCCAGGGGTCGCTGCTCCCACCACCTCCTCTCTGCCTGCTCCCTCATTGCCCACTCTGACTCCTCTTCCCCTCGCTCCTCGCTTCTGCCACCGCTGCTGGGCCTAGCAGCAGTGGAGGAGGGGGCATGAGAGCAGTGGGTGAGGCACAGGGCCTGCCAGTGCGTGTCGGGGTCGGGGTTGGGCAGGGGTGCGGGTGTGAAGCACATGCAGCGCGGCGCAGCGAGCATGTCGAGCAATGCCTCAGCGATGGCCGCACAGAGCAGCAGCGCCAGAGGCACCGACTCCTCACGTGCCACCTCCACCACGCACCCCCTCCAGTTCACCAGCGCTGTGGCAAGCGCCAGCCCGCCCCCCCCAGTGTATCGCACTAGCGTGGCAAAGCCGTGCTCCTCTGCTGCTGCCGCCCCGCACACAGTGTAAGACAGGTGCCGGCCCGGCAGTAGCGCCACCTGAGGATAGATGGAGGGGGGAAGGGAGAGGGAGCGGATGGGGTGGAGAGGTACGGGAAGAGATAAGGAGAGTGATGGGTGTATCAGGAATGCATCACGATAAGGGGCAGCGTTGGAGAGACAGGGACGAGGAAAGCAAGAGCGGAGGCAGGGATTAGGAAGAGGCAGAGGCGGAGGCAACGCACCTGATGGCCGCCCTCCTCCTGCAGGTCCAGCTGCAGTGAGCCTGGCACCAGCGCCCCATCCACCACTCTGCACCGCACTCCCAGCTCCGCCATTGCTGCACCAGGCAAGCAGCCCATGAGCGCATAGCGCACCACCAACTCCCCCCCTGCACCCATCCCTCTCTGCTCCCTCTTCGTGGTACCGTGTCCCCACTGCCCCCCTCCCCCACCTCGAGGCACAGCCTGCGCCAGCACTGGCCCGCGGCACACCCCCATGCGTTCATGCAGGGGGGCGCTGAGGGGCAAGGGCGTGGCGTCCGTGGGCACATAGCTCCAACCCCCCTGCTCCACCGCTCCACATGCCGTTGGGGGGTGAGAGGGATGGGGGAGACGTCATGACAAAAGAGTAGTAGGTGAAAGAGGTGGGAGGGCAAGGGAAGTGGAATGAAGCAAGGTAAGGGCAGAGATGGCACAGGCTGATGGAATGGTGACACAAGCAGAGTGATTGGCACAATGTGCTGATGCAGCAGCCACGTGGTGCTGCTATCAAATGCCATTACCTGATGCAACCACCAGATGCAACCACCTGATGTTACTGGTATCAGTTGATGCGATCACGTGATGCAACCTTCTGATGTCATCAGTTGATCCGATCACCTGACGCAATCACCTGATGATGCCACCCCACCTGATGCAATCACCTGATGCAGCACGATTGTCCGTTCCGTCGGCTGAACTGGCTTTGGGCGCTTGTGGTCCCCCCACACTCCCTCTGCCACTCTGCTCCACGGCTCCAAGGGGTGGGGAAGAAGTGGTGCCGGGCAACAGACAAAGTCAGGAAGAGGGGCGGGGTGGAGGGCAGGGGAAGACAAAGAGACATGGATGAGTGGGGAGGTACTAGTGTGGTGTAACAGAGGCGGCATGGAGTATGAGACCAAGGGAAACAAGTGGTGTGGGCGAGCATGCAGAAAGGCAGACATCAACGTGCAGCGCGAGTGACATGCACGCACTTGCCTTCATGTACCCACCACTTATCTGCTTTGCCTCCCACCTGGTGCGCATGACAAACGCCTCGATGCCCCTGTGGTCCAGCACTGTGCGTGACACCCACTGCCCCGCCTGATCTCCACACATATCCAAGCCATGCGCACGCATGCACAATCGCATGCGAAACCACACACATGCATGCCGCACATGCAAACGCATAGGATTCATGCACATAAAAACTCTTGCAATCGGAAACATCAGGACCGCTTCATGGTTTAATACCCTCGCCTGACCCCTTGCTTGCCAGTCCGCTCGCCCCTCTCTTGTTTTCACCTGAGGGTGGTGCTGAGCCAGGGCGGCGCAGAGCATGGCCCCGCGGTCATCAGAGGCGCACACAAGCACGGCGCGCAGCAGGAATGGCGCTGCCGTGGCAGGGGTCAGCGACACGCCCACCTGCAGCCCTGCCTGCCCCGCCACACACCGCACACTGCCCTCCGCCCTGCCTCCACCCCCACCCACCCTCTCCCCCTCTTCTGCTGCCCTCGCCGCCAAGCCACTGCTCCCTGGGGCAGCTGTGCTGGCCGTAGTGAGAGGGGCCGTGGCAGCGGCATAGGCAGCGGGGGTGCAGCCTGGGGGGGCGAGGGGCAGCACGCAGTGGAACAGCAGCGAGGGGTGCTGCAGCAGGCGGTGCCACGTGAGCACCGCCGAGCCCAGCTCACGGGGAGCGGGGGGGAGCAGCCAGGGCAGCAGCGAGGAGAGCAGCGAGGGCGAGTGGGCGTGCAGGCTCAGCCGCAGCCCCTCCGAGGCCATCTCCGCCTGCAGTGAGAAGCGGTGCCGCCAGCGCGGTGGGGGGGCTGCCGGATGGAAGGGCAGCGTGGGCGTGCGGGCGGAGAAGGCAGGGGCAGCGTGGAGGGCGGAGAGGCAGACGGAGAGGCAGTCAGGGGCGGGCAGCAGCAGCCCTCTCACGGTCCACACGGTCACCTCCACGTCCACTGTGCTGCGCTGCCACAGCCCCAGCCCTGCATTCGCCTCGCCCGCTCTCACACGCCCCGCCACTGCCATGCTCCGCACCTTTGCCCCCTGCTCGTCTGTGCTCCAGCTTCCCACTCTCTCCTTGTCCGCATCTGCTTCCTCACTACTCCTCAACTGCTGCTCCACGTGTTTCCGCCGCTGCTGGCTCTCCACATCTGCCCCTGCGGCGCTGTCTGAACGGCACTGGGTGCGTGCCCCTGAGCCCTCCTGCCCGCCTGCCCCCACTGCCGCTGCCTGCTGCTCGCGGCCCACAGCTGCCCCGCCCATGCGCATACTCGGTGGCAGGGAGCTTGCATGAGCGGGGGCACGCCCTCCCACAGCAGTGGCATGGCCCCTGCACGCGCAAAGGGCACGGCGAACGTGCGCTCCCACAGCAGCGCCGTCGCCCTCTGCGCCGCCTCCACACGCCGTGCCACCGGCGAGGACGGGCCCGCCAGGGCGCAGGGCGAGCAGGCGAGGGCGGAGGCAGGGAGGGCGGGGTTGGGCGAGAGGGAGGTGGCGTGGGCGATGAGGCGCCCCACCAGGTGGCGGCAGTCCGTGGCGTAGGCGCGCGCACACATCTGGGGCGATGGGGGGGGAGGTGGGGGGGAGGGGAAGAGGGGAGGGGGCGGGCAGCGGATCAGTGAGGAGGAGGTGAGAGGAGAGGTGGTGAGGCAAGAGCAGGGGTCATGAGCATGTGTGTGCATGTTATGACTCCATGCAATGCAAGCTAGCAGGATATGTTCCATGTGTGCATGCTACCATGTGCGCATGCCAGATCAGGTCGATGTCAGAGGTGGGTGTGAGGAGCGTCGCTGGGTTGGTCTTCAAGAGGCAGAGGAACATGCGGTAGCGCTGCACTGACCCCCTCAGGTATGCCGCTTGCACCATCCATGGCCGCTCCACCTGCCACCACACATGCCCCATGCCCCATGCACCATGCACCATGAAGCACGCAACATGCGGCACAGGTTGAGATGGAGAGAAGTGAGAGGAAGGCAACTTTCAGGTGAGCCAGCATAATCACCACAGCACCACCTCTCGCAGCACACGGCACCACCTCTCGCAGCACGAGTGAGCGCCCCTCACCTGGAGGAAGAGCCCCCTCTGCCGCAGCACAGCGGCCCTCAGGTCATACTGCACGTACCGCCCCTCTCCTGCACCCTCTGCCGCCACTCCGCCCTCCGCCCCTGCAGCTGCCAGCACCGCCACCGCGCCCGGCACGCTTGACAGCACTGCCGCCCCAGTGCCTCTCAGGGCCCCCGTTAACGCGCCTGCATGCTCGCCTGGCGCACAGCGCAGCCTCTCGCCTCTCTGCACCTCCACACCGCCTAGGCTACAACTTGCTCCTCCGCCCTCATTGCAACACCCACAGCCCTCCCCATGGCTCTCCCCTTCTGCCCCTTCACTCCCACCTTGCGCCTCCCCTCTCTCCGCACCCTCTCGCCCGCACTGCTTGCTCTCCACCGCACCGCCGTTGTCGTCATGGCCACCTCCCCGCCCGCGCTGTGAGGCGTGCGCCCCACGAGGCACGCACGGGTCGTAGGGCTCGTGAGGAAACAGCCTATCCCACACCCGCCGCGCCGCTGCCTCTGCTGCCTCCCTCCCGCCCTCCGCCGCTGCTGCTGCTGCTGCTGCTTCTGCAGGCAGCATGCGAGGCGGCAGGGTGGTGAGAGGGGTCACAGTCAGTGGTGTCAAAGACTGCTTGCTCCACCACTCGACCCACCATGGCCTCGCACTCCCTGCTGTACGCCTCCTGCTCCCATCACCCATGTATGCGTTTTGCACGCGCGCACCCACACACACATGCGCATGCACACACACGCACGCACGCATGCACGCCCCTCCCCCCCCCCCCCACACACACACACGTGCGAAGATCATGCAGTGAAGTGTTCAGGGAGGCAGGGCAAGAAACACAGGGCGAGGTACGGCACATGTTGGAAGTGAAGATGCGAAGGCAGCAGCAAGCAGATTCGTGCAATACAGTGAAGGGTGGGAGTAGAGAGGTGGGGAGCATAGAGAGCACACGGCAACACATTGGGCGGATCCACAACTTCGCAGCACCAGCAGCAGCGTCCAGTCAGTGCAGGAGCAGCACGGCTGCATGGCAGCACGGGCAGCAGCGGTAGCAGAGGCAGAAGGGGCAGCATGGGCAGCCAAGCAGCACAGGAACATACGGGGTTGAGGCGGTGGCACAGCCACACCCATTCCACGTCGATGGGCGGCAGCAGGCGGCACATTTCGTCGTCACTCAGCCGCCCAGCCAGCTGCAGCCAGCACCGCTCGTACCTGCTCCCGTGGGGGGAGGGGCGCACATGGGGGGAGGGGCGCACATGGAGGGGATGTGGCGCGCAGAGGATGAGGCGACGCACATTCAACGGAGGGCACACGAGTTTGCCGAAAGGGGAAGGGGCCGGCGCAGCAGGAGGGGCGGGCAGCACGAGGGGCGGGCAGCACGAGGGGCGGGCAGCACGAGGGGCGGGCATGGCGTGCCTGCGGATGGCGGTATCGAGGGCGGGCCCGTCGTCGCACAGCCCGCCGTGCGCCTGCACCCGCCGCAGCAGCGCCATCAGGTGCCGCGCCGCCGCCGCCACGTCCGCCGTCACGCGCACCGCCTCCACGGCGCGCCACGCCCGCGCCACCTCCGCCTCGTCCTCCTCCTCCTCCGCCAGTAGCGGCCACTCCGCCGCCATCGGCGCGAGGGAAAGCGGTGACAGCGCGAGGGGTAATGTGGGGTGGCGGTGTGCGCGAGGGAGTGGAAGGTGTGCGGAGGGTTAAGGCGCGGAGGGTCAGGCCGCGGAGGGTCAAGGCGCAAAGATTAACGTTCCTATTGACCTCCGTGCGCTGCGCTGAACAATGTGCGCGCGACGAGCAATCTGTTCGCTTGGCAGCGTCGGTGAATGCGGCACCGAGGCGCTTCGAGTGAGCGTAAAAGCGAAGAAATTGGGGTATGAGGAAGGGCAATGGCACGAGTGTTAGAGAAGCGGTATAATGCGGTGCTGCGGAGTGAGAGGAGCTTACGACAGTACACTTGGCTGCACTACCGTTCCGTGTGACAAAACAAAGATCTGCAAATTCTTTAGGGTAGCTTTGCTGGACATCTACTGAGCGCAGTGGGCAACCATTACTAAAGGATATGCAATTATACATTCAATAAGCTATGCTCTTAACGAGCAAGAATAAGGCACACCAAAAAATGGCAAGGAGCAAGCGGGTTGCCAGGAGCGGAAGCGCGAGCGGTGCGATCAAAGGCGGGAGGTGATGGCCTTGCGCAGGCGGTCCTCTTCGGTCTCCACGTGGCAGCGCTTGATGTCCGCCACCCTGGTGCAGCCGGCGAGCGCCATGGCGAGCTCAAACTCGTCCTTGAGGATGCCCAGCAGCTTCTCCACCCCCGCCTGCCCATCCACCGCCAGGGCGAATGGCACCGGCCGCCCCACCTGGTGGGCATGGGCCGGGGGGGGAAGGGACGGGATGGGCGGATGCGGGGCAGGCATGAGAGGGCAGGCATGTGCAAGACAGCGAGAAAGGCACAATACTAGAATAGCACCTATAACACTGAGTGGACCAAGGTCAATACGTGGAAGCAGGTGCAACAGGAGGGCAAAGGCACTGAGGAGGCAGTGGCATGTGAGGTAGGGAAGGGTAACATACAAAAACACCCGCGGCGCCGAGGGCAAGTGCCTTGAGCGCATCCGTGCCACGCCGCACCCCACCGTCGAGAAACACCGGCACCCGGCCACGCGCTGCCTTCACCACCTGCCACCGCACTCGGTGGGGGGAAGAAGAGGGGGAAGGGAGTTGGTGGCGGGGGGAAGGTGGTGGCGAGGGGGGTGTGGTGAGGGAGTGGGATAAGGTGAGGGAGGGGGATAAGGTGAGGGAGGTAATACGGTGAGGGAGGGGATACTGTTAGGGAGAGGGGGGCGTGATGAGGAAGGGGGATATGGTGAGGGAGTGTGAGATGCAGTGTGTGTAGCATCAGGCATGGAATTGACGAGTGGGAGAACAAGAGGGGGACGAAATAAATGCAGGCAGTATGACATGTAGGTTGCCATCGCCACGCGCAAAAGAGACAGACAGGGGTATTGGATGAGTATGGGTATGGGTTGAGAGCGCATGTGTGGCAGGGCAGGGGGGGGCACCTCCTCGAGCGCGCAGATGGTGGCGGAGACATAGTCGAGCTGGCGTGCGCCGTGGTTGGACACTATGATGCCCGCCGCCCCGTACTCTATCGATATCTCCGCTGCGCGGCACCACGCAGGGGGGGGGATGATGATCAAGGCGGGTGGAAGATGGGTTAGGGTGAGCAGGCGCAGGGAGCAACATGGGGTTACTAGATGTGACTAGCTGTGAGCAGTATCAGCTACCCTCTGCTAAAACCACGGCGTTGACTCACCATCCTCTGCTGTGATGACGCCCTTGACGAGAATGGGCAGCGATGTGATGGACTTGAGCCATGCGATGTCCTGTGGGCCCACACGCATGTGAATCACACGCGCACATGCACATGTACGTACACACATGCGCATGCACACATGCACATTCACACACGCGCACACAATGTGCACGGGCACACACATGCTCCACACAATCATTGGAAACAAGTGGCGGGAAGAAGGAAGTGAAAGAGGGGGAGGGGGGAGTGGGAGGGAAGAAATGAAGGATCGTTGAGGTTGGAGTCTGGCAGAGAAGAGGAGAATGGAGCATAGAGCAGCAACTGACAGAAGGTCGTACAGCAGGCCATACACCCACATCCAGCCAGAACACACCACACACGCGCCACGCACCTCACACACCGCACGCACACGGCACGCTGAGAGCAGGCGCGCTCACCTTCCAGCTGAGCGAGCGGTCGATCTGACCCGCCACATATGATGACAGCCCCGACTCCTGTGACTGGTGTGCGCCCGCCGGGACACGTGGTGGTAGGCAGAGACGGAGAGGAAGAGGGAAAACGAGCAGTGAGTCAAGGGCAACGAGCAGTGCTGTCCTGGTCAACGATGCACCAAGGCTCATTTTATCACAACACAACTCATTGCATGCTGCCTTATCCATGCCGCCATACCTTATCCATGCCGCCATACCTTATCCATGTCGCCATACCTTATCCATGTCGCCATACCTTATCCATGCTGCCATACCTTATCCATGCTGCCATACCTTATCCATGCTGCCATACCTTATTCATGCTGCCATACCTTATCCATGCTGCCATACCTTATCCATGCTGCCATACCTTATCCATGCTGCCATACCTTATCCCTGCTGCCATACCTTATCCATGCTGCCATACCTTATCCATGCTGCCATACCTTATCCATGCCGCCATACCTTATCCATGTCGCCATACCTTATCCATGCTGCCATACCTTATCCATGCTGCCATACCTTATCCATGCTGCCATACCTTATCCATGCTGCCATACCTTATACATGCTGCCATACCTTATCCATGCTGCCATACCTTATCCATGCTGCCATACCTTATCCATGCTACCATACCTTATCCATGCTGCCATACCTTATCCATGCTGCCATACCTAATCCATGCTGCCATACCTTATCCATGCTGCCATACCTTATCCATGCGGCCATACCTTATCCATGCGGCCATACCTTATCCATGCGGCCATACCTTATCCATGCGGCCATACCTTATCCATGCGGCCATACCTTATCCATGCGGCCATACCTTATCCATGCGGCCATACCTTATCCATGCGGCCATACCTTATCCATGCTCCCAAGGTTCAGTCCTTCGAAGTTCTTCAGAGTGAGGTGGGGCGGCAGCACGAACCTGCCACACCGCACCACCATGCAATTTCAAGCCATGAGTCAGTCACAATGGGCCCCAATGCATGCCACAAAAACACCGACCAAGAGCAGCGACCAGAGCTGCATTTTCCACTTCAAATTCCTCTTTGCATCATTGACATTTCATATTGCCTCACATTTATTCGTTATTGCAGCGTACACACTACAACCCTTCTCTAAGTGCACTTTTAAATCCCTCCACCCACGGTCCCCCAGCCATCGTGTTAACCCACCCCACTCCCCTCGCCGCCAACCCACCCCCCACGCCTGCAGCAGCAACCCGCGCCATGGCTGGCGCGCGCGGGCGGGCGGCGCACCTGTTTTTTATGTCGGCCTCGCGGCGGCCGAGGCGCGGCGTGTCGACGGTGAGCGCGATGGCCTTGAACCCCGCCCGCTCCGCGCGCCGCACCAGCTGCTCCACCACCTGCCGGTCTTTGTACACCTGGGGGGAGCCAAGGGGGGGAGAGAACGAGGGGGGGTGGGGGGGTGTGAGGCAGGGGAGGTGGCGCGACACATACAGCAGGCAGGGGAATTTTGCGGGTGATGCAGCAGGCGCAGGCTGGAGACGAGGCAGGCGCCAGCGCAATGCGGCGGGCGGCTATTGGCGGAAGGTAGAGCGTGCGGCACTCACGTAGAGCTGGAAGAAGCGCAGACCCGGACCCACCGATGCCACCTCCTCCACGCTGCTCGTCGCCCACGACGACAGCACCTGCTTGACCAGGGGGAGCACGGGGAGAAAGGGGCGACGGGAAGAGAATGGGGGAGAGAGGAGGGGAAGCAGGCGCAGGAGGAGCGGGAAACGAGGGGAGGAAGAGAGGCGAGAATGAGAATGGAGAAGAGGAGCCTGGGAGCAGAGGAGCCTGGGAGCAGTGGTGGGGTTTTGAGACGTCTCAAAACACGAGGCTGGGAGCAGCGGTGGCGGTGAGATGAAGACTACAAATCGCGCATTTCCGACAGCGACACGTTCTACACATCACCGCACTGCACGGCACGTAAATTCCACCAGCTAAGCGGACCACTGAATTTTCACGTCATTGCTGCTAAAAGCACCTATCGAGCTTCCAGTTTTTCCGGCGCTACCTCCAAGATACCGTTTTTCCAGCTTACTATGGTTCCGGCTTACTATGGTTCCGGCCTACCATGGTTCCGGCTTACTATGGTTCCGGCTTACTATGGTTCCGGCTTACTATGGTTCCGGCTTACTATGGTTCCGGCTTTCTATGGTTCCGGCTTACTATGGTTCCGGCTTACCATGGTTCCGGCTTACCATGGCCGTGTCGAATTTAGCTGCCGCGCGGGCCGTGGCGAGCTCGCCTGCAGGGAGAGAGCAGCGGAGGACAGGGCAGGTGAGATGACAGGTGAACAGCTGCACACTGACGGCTTGTGGCGTTCGTTTCGTGGTTGTTACACTACGTGAGCAAAGAAATAAAAATGACCGCATCACATTGCGCGGGTGGAGCGGCGGGCGGCGCGCACCTTCGGGGTGCGCCATGCGCTGGAAGGCGGTGGGCGCGAGCATGATGGGCATGGAGATGCGGTGGCCCAGCACGCTCGTCGTCGTGTCCACGCTCGACACGTCGATCAGAATCCGCGGTCGGAACCTGCACTCGAGTCATATTCAGGGATGCACGGCCGCTCAGCCGCAGTGTGAGCGTTAGCATCATCAACAGTGCCAGCCGTCGGAATCAGCTCAACGGTTGCTCGTTTCGGCATGCTTTGAACGGAAGGGGAATTCGACGGGAACAACTAGCCAGGCCTAACAGGGAGGCGCGACGGTAGGCTGAGGGGCGGCACCTGATGCGCTCGAAGGCGTTGCGGTTCTCGGCGAGGGTCCATTGGTCCTCGGCGCCCGACGCGTAGTAGTCGTACGCCTGCTTGGGCAGCTTCTCCCGCGCCAGGCACTGGAACTCGGAGATGTTCGTCACTGTGCTCGACGGATTGCTCGCCGCCGCCGCCATTGCCGCTCTTTCTACTAGACCGCGGTGTTGGAGTGGAGCTTAGGTGAAAGCAGCCTTGGCGCTTCCTGTCAGACGCGGTAGCGCAGCGACCCAGCGAGAGCTGCAAGAGTTGCCAAGGGATTGACTGCTCGCAGCAACAGCTCAAGCGGTTGAATCCCGAGGAGGGAGGGAATGGGTGATGTGGTAGAACTGCAAGGACTGAGATGCGAGCAGAGTGGGTGTGGGCGCCATGGGGAAGAGTGGCGGAAGCGGCGAGGGGGGGAGTGGCGGATAAGATGAATACTGGCTGACGCTCTCCCACGTGGCCCGGTTCGCCCGGACCACTTTCAAGGCCACATGGGTCTCTCGAGGCGGGGAATGGGAGACTTGCATTGCGGTGATGCGAAATGGCGCGGATGCATGCACCTCGGCTCAGCCGGATGGCTGTAGGAATTATTGGGGTGGATGAGAGGCTATCATTGCCACTCAACTCGCACTTGTAACACCGATTGTCAGGATAAGTGTTTCCAGCGCTTACATCCTGCTGTATATATCACATCAACATAACTCACATGTTATCTCTCGTATTTCCTAGCAGCCCGTTCACTAATGGAGGTGTGGTAGGACGAGCTGAGCATGCGGCGGAAGCTCGAATACACGTCGTCATACTGCGACGGAGCATCGGCTTCCACGGCACCCAGTCCCAGCCTCGCCCCGCCCATGCCAGGCTTCTGCACCACACTGCCGTCCGGCAACATGCCCGTCTCCGGGTCCACCTCCATGCCCACTCCTAACCCGCCTCCCCCCATGCCCAGTCCAAGCCCTGCCCCACCCATACCCAGGCCAAGCCCGCCGCCCTCCATGCCAATCGCTGGTGGCGGTGACACGGCGCATGGCTTCGCCCCTGGGCCTCTTTTCCCCCCGCCACCCACCCCATGCCCTCCGTGCCCGTGCCCTCTCTTCCCAATGCCCGCCCCAAGAATCCCCCGGCCCCCATCCGCCTCCTCCGCGTCCTCCTCCTCCTCGTCCTCCCCATCGGCCATGGGGTCCTTCTCACCAATGGCCTTGAAGAACCGGGCGATGCGGCGCCGCAGGTACTCCTCGGACTCGTGGGGCGGCGGGATGCTGGAGGGGATGTCGTGCGGCGCCATGGGCGCGTACGGCACGCCTGACCCCACCTGCTTCTTGCGCACCATGCCCGGGATCAGCCCCGGCGGGAACAGCGGGTACGGTGGCTTCTCAGCAGGAGGAGGAGCGGGGGCTGCAGGCGGCGCCTCTGAGGAAGGGGGCTGCGGCTCAGGGGGGACGCTGGGGGGTGCTGCGGGCGAGGGCTGGTGTGGGGTTTGAGTGGCGGGGGCAGGGGGCGGGGGGAAGGAAGGGGGGGTGGCGGGCACGGGTGCAGAGGCAGGGGCGGCTGCATCGTGAGGCATGGGCGGCATGTGTGGTGGGAGAGGGGGCCATGTGGGTGGCGGAGCGGCGTGGGGCTGCATGGGTGCGCCATGGGGATATGGCTGTGCGGCAGATGGGTATGCCACTGCAATGGGGGGTGGGAGCGGGGACGGGGAGCACAGGAAAGGGGGAACAATGTCAGCAACACAAAAGAGAGAAAGGAGATAGGTGGGTGCAAGCCAAAGAGAGCTAGAATCACACACGTCAAAGCACTCACTCCCACTCCCAGTCTCAGCACCGATGCTCCAATTGACTCGCCTGCAGCGTGGTAGTCCATAGCAGGCACAGGGGGCGGCGGCGGCATGGGGGGGTGCTGGTGGGGCGGCAGGCGCATGAGCGCGCCCAGGTGCGCCATGGCCTCCCCCGGATACACCTCCTTGCTGGCCCAGAACGCCAGGATCTTCCCCAGCCGTTCCTGGTTGCTGCTCTGCGCGTCCCCGCCCCCGTGGAACAGCGCTGCCAGCATGAAGCCCAAACACGGCTGCAGTGCTGCCGCCACCGCATCCACCGCTCCCGGGTGTGGCCTCTGCTGTAGACTGCCCGGTCAGGAGGGGGGTTGAAAAGAGAGGAGGGGAGGTTGCAGAGAGTGAGGTGGAGAGAGTGCGGTGGGGAGAGTGAGGTGGAGAGAGTGCGGTGGGTAGAGTGAGGTGGGGAGAGTGAGACGGAGACAGTGAGGTGGGGAGATTGAGGTGTGGCAGTGCGGAGGGCTGTGGCAGCGGCAGCAGGAGGGCGGAGCCACACCTGTTGAAGAGCACGTCGTTGACGAGGTAGATCACATGCAGCTGCCTCTCCGGCTGCCCTGCCAGCGTTGCCATGCGCTCCCTCAGCACCCATGCGATGTGCGGCGCCCACCCCATGCCCGCGCGCCACGCCACCCACGCCTTCCCGCCCTTGATGGCCTCCTTGGTGCCGCTCAGCCCCGCCAGCAGCGCCACCGCCTCGCCGCCCACGTCCGCCGGCAGCCCCGCCGCCGCCACCGCAGCCTGCAGCGCCACGTCCGCCGGGTCCGCGGAGGGTGGGGCCGTGGGGGGCTGCTGGGGCTCCGGGGGAAGGGGAGGGGTGGATTCGGCGGGGAGAGGGACCGCGGGAGAGGCCTCAGAGCCGGTCTGCGCCTGCTGCGCGCCCGGCGCGCCCTCTGCTGCTTGTTTTTCCCCATCCTGCTCCCCCTCTACCTTCCCTTCCGCGCTGCCCCGTTCCCCGTCGGCCTCCCCCTGCTTCCCCGCGGCCTGCTCCGCCTGCCCATCAGCTGCCCCCTTCACCTCGGTCCAAGCTGCCGCCTCTGGCCCCCCCGCGCCCCCCGCGCCAGAGAGCGCGCACCAGAGGCGGAAGCGATAGTAGTCCGCGCCCTCCCCGCCCGCCTCGAGGAAGGCGTACGCGGGTTGTCCGCGCTGCTTGTCGCGCATGAGCGCCTCGAACTGCGGCCCGTTCTTCGCGGCGTACTCGACGGCCTTCTCCACGCGCCCGCGCAGCTCCTCGCTCGCCGGAGGGGGCACGGCGGCTGGCGGAGGCTCGCGCGGATCGAAGAAGGCGGCGAGCGGGGAAGTTGCGGGGAAGGCGGAGTCTTGAGCGTGCGGATAGGCGGGCTGGGGGGGTGGTTGGTAGGGATTTGGTGGGTTGTAGGCGGAGGGAGGGTAGGGCTGGGGAGGATAAGCGTAAGGGTGGTGAGGGGGTTGGTGGTGGGGGTAATGCGAGGGCGCGTGATGCTGCGCATGACTCGCGTCGTACCCGTAATAGTGCGCCGCCGCCCCTTGCGCCTGCTGCTGCTGCTGGTACTGCTGCTGGTGGTACTGTTGGTGATCGTACGGGTGACCGTCATGGCCGTAGTGCTGATGCTGCTGCTGCTGCTGCTGCTGCTGCTGCTGCTGCTGCTGCTGCTGCTGCTGCTGCTGCTGCTGCTGCTGCTGCTGCTGCTGCTGATGCAGATAGTACGCCTCGTGTTGCTGCGCTGACTGATCGTCTCCCTTTGCCACGCGCTGTTCGGAATTATCCATGGTGAATGAGCGGGTGGTTTCGGAAGCTGCTTTGGTACTCTTACGTGTATTTTTTATTACCTGTAAAATTGTTCCAACTGGTAGGCACGTCAGAGTGGCCGAGTGGTCTAAGGCGCCGCACTCAAGTTGCGGTCTCGAAAGAGGCATGGGTTCAAACCCCATCTCTGACAGGTTTTAGCGGCCCTTGTGCACTTGCTGGCATGTTTTTGGTGGTGCTGAGGCCACATGGTGAGCCTGGGGCTTGAGGGGGGGGTCTTGGCTTGGCATTCTAGAGAGCAGGGTTTCATGTACGAATTTGGTCGTTTCTCCATGAAAACCGCCTTGCGTGTTTCCAACGTGTTTCGGACTTGGGAAAGTGAGTGTGCTGTGTGCATGAGTGAGGTCTGCATCACCACGCAAGAGCCTCATGAATCACTACACCATCACCACACACTCTTATGATAACTATACATGGTATGTACGGCAGCTCTAGTGTTACATTGTGTGATGCTAGGGCAACAAAAGCAAGCACCAGTGGGGACAGTGGAACTACTGGCGGTCTCGCTGCACAATGCTGGAGAAGCTGCTTGCTTCATGCACTTGCTGCTTGCTTCTGCTGCGTGCGTCAGGTGCTTGGTCCCTGTGCTTGCTGCTGCTGTTGCTTCAAGAGCTTATTTCAAGGTGTCACCAGGTTAATCACGAATGGAGGGTTGCATGCATGTCAGTGAGGGGCGCCAAGGCCATCAGCGCCTGCGCTTGGGTCAGTGGGGGGCACGGGTTGCCTGGAGGAGGAGGAGGTGGCGACAGCAGCAGGCAGGGAGGGACGGTGGCGCCACAGGGGAGTGGAGGTGGACAGGGGGAGAGGGGGCACACCACCTGGCAGGGCGGCAGCTGGGGGGGCGGTGGAAGGGGCGGCGTGGTGATGGGTGGCCTCTTGTGCACGCGCTGTCTCCCCCCCGCTCTCTGCCCCCACATTCGAGTCCGCCGGGTGCAGCGCACGTGCAGCATGAGCAGGGTGAGAGTGTGCGGTGGGGGCAGCAGCGGGCGTGGGAGGCACAGCGGCAAGGCGTGCCCACACGGCCGCATGCTCCCACGACTGCAGGAACCATGGGGGGGGCGCTGGGGGGGACTGCGGTGCATGGGGCGACCCAGCACCACGAGGCAAGTGGCCCGTGGGGGCGAGGGGGTTGGGGCCTGAAGGAGGGTGGGAAGAGGCAGCATCATGGAATGGGAGAGAGGGAGGGGCAGCGAGGGCGGCCTGGGCGTGAGTGAGGGGAGGAGGGGGCTGCATGGCAGCATGAGAGGACGACGGCAGCACCGCCATCTGCACTGCTGCAGCCCCTCTCATCTCTTTGCTATCCTCCCACGCTCCATCCCTCCCACCACCACCACTCGCCCCACCGTACAAAGCTACGTTGCCCTCCCCTTCCTGCCGCTCCGATCCGTATCCCTTCGCCCCTCGCATGTGCGCCTCCTTGTGGCCGCCACCATCCCTCTCTTCCTCCTCCCACCCTCCCCCTCCCGCCTCCCTTTCTGCCTCTCTTGTTTTCCATTCCTTCCTGCCGCCCCACTCGTCCTCACCGCCCCACTCCGCCTCGCTGCCCCGTTTGCCCGCACGTGCAGCAAACGGCTTGCACGCATCACCCTCACCCGCCTGCTCCCCGTCCCCCTCCTGCTGCTGAGGGTCGGCCGCCAAGCGGCACTTCTGAGAAATCAAGGCGCGGCAGAGGGGCCGCCACGCAGCAGGGCGAGGAGAGGGGGAGAGGGGGAGAGGGGTGGAGAGACGAGGTCAGTGGTGGTAGGGAGGAGGGTTCAAGCAAGCATTGTGCATGGCCATACCCATCCCATGCCCCCCATCCCATGCCCCCCATCCCATGCCCCCCATCCCATGCCCCCCATCCCATGCCCCCCATCCCATGCCCCCCATCCCATGCCCCCCATCCCATGCCCCCCATCCCATGCCCCCCATCCCATGCCCCCCATCCCATGCCCCCCATCCCATGCCCCCCATCCCATGCCCCCCATCCCATGCCCCCCATCCCATGCCCCCCATCCCATGCCCCCCATCCCATGCCCCCCATCCCATGCCCCCCATCCCATGCCCCCCATCCCATGCCCCCCATCCCATGCCCCCCATCCCATGCCCCCCATCCCATGCCCCCCATCCCATGCCCCCCATCCCATGCCCCCCATCCCATGCCCCCCATCCCATGCCCCCCATCCCATGCCCCCCATCCCATGCCCCCCATCCCATGCCCCCCATCCCATGCCCCCCATCCCATGCCCCCCATCCCATGCCCCCCATCCCATGCCCCCCATCCCATGCCCCCCATCCCATGCCCCCCATCCCATGCCCCCCATCCCATGCCCCCCATCCCATGCCCCCCATCCCATGCCCCCCATCCCATGCCCCCCATCCCATGCCCCCCATCCCATGCCCCCCATCCCATGCCCCCCATCCCATGCCCCCCATCCCATGCCCCCCATCCCATGCCCCCCATCCCTTGCCCCCCATCCCATGCCCCCCATCCCATGCCCCCCATCCCATGCCCCCCATCCCATGTCCCCCATCCCATGCCCCCCATCCCATGCCCCCCATCCCATGCCCCCCATCCCATGCCCCCCATCCCATGCCCCCCATCCCATGCCCCCCATCCCATGCCCCCCATCCCATGCCCCCCATCCCATGCCCCCCATCCCATGCCCCCCATCCCATGCCCCCCATCCCATGCCCCCATCCCATGCCCCCCATCCCATGCCCCCCATCCCATGCCCCCCATCCCATGCCCCCATCCTGCACCCTGTCCTCCCTCCTTCCCCCCCCCCCCTCACCACGGGCCCGTCATCGCCAGCAGGGGAGAGGGCGGAGCGGTTGACAAGGCAGTCGAGCAGCAGTCCCACGGGCCACGCCAGGGGGAACAGCGCCACCAGCGCCACCCCCCCCACCCACGCCGTCGCCCCCGCCACCTGCAGACTCCTGGGTGGAGGGGGAGGGGGAGGGGGAGGGGGAGGGGGAGGGGGAGGGGGAGGGGAGGGTGGAGGGGTGGGAAGGGAGAGGGGAGAGGGGAGAGGGGAGAGGGGAGAGGGGAGAGGGGAGAGGGGAGAAACGGATGAAGGAGAAAGGAGGGTATGACAAGGGGTTGGGGAGTTGGGAGGAGGCGTAACTCTCAGCTGCTGACGTGGCTCGTAGCATGAGCGAGATCATCGGACGGGTGAGTGGTGAGTGGCGAGGGTGAGAATTGCCATAAGCTTGAATCAGTGCAACAAGGAGGGACATACCGGTTGGTGCAGATGGCGGGCGGCAGCAGCTCAACGGCGAGGAAGAGCAGCGAGAAGGCGCACAGCCACCCCCTCCACACGCCCAACACCTCTGCACTCACCGCCATGCCCACACAAAGACCCGTGGGGAAGGAGGGAGGGTAGAGGAGCGAAGAGCTGAGAGTCATGGTGCGATGCATGAGTGATGTGATGTGAGGGGATACAGCCACGTGCAGGGGGGCCAGCATGGTGGGTGAGAGAGGTCATGCAGCCGCAGGGAGGGCCCCTCACAGCAGCCCCAGAGAGGGGGGGGCTCACAGGGGTGCAGGGGGGTTCAGCAGGGGTGGGGCGGGAGGGGTACCAGTGAAGGCGGCAGCAGCGAGGGAGGAGGAGAGGCAGCTGGCGAGCAGCAGCGCCGCCAGCAGCAGGTTGCCATGACGCCTCACGCGCAGCACTGCCCTGGCCTGCCACGCATGGCGCACACCGGGACATGGGCGAGGAGCACGGGGGTGTGGAGAGGGGCGAGGAGAGTGAGAGGGGAGGAGATGCGCACATGCATGCCGTGCCTTGCGCGTGTGCAGCCAACAGGGGGTGACAAGGGGCGACGAGCCATGTGAATGGACGGCAGCAGGAAGCGGAAGGAGCAGCGAAGCGGAGAGGTGGGGCAGCAGGGGTGGGGTGGGGTGGGGTGGGGTGGGGTGGGGCGCACCTTTCTGCGCTCAGCCTTGTCCGCGCTCGCTGCCAACACCTGCACGTGGGGGGCGCGGAGAGAAGGGCGGAGAGGGGAACATGTGTTGGAAGGGGAGCAGGCAGGAAGAGGCACAGCGGTGCCCGGCAGCAAGGCAGAAAGGGATTGGGGAGGGCGCACCTGCAGCGAGTGGGGGAGGGCGCACCTGCAGCGAGGGCAGGTCGAGCGCGAGTGTGCTGGCCATGACACACGCCACCAGCGCCGCCACCCCCACGCCCACCCCGCCTGCCGTACCGCCACACCCAGGGACAGGGGGTTGGGGAGGGAGAGAAGGGTGTGGGGGGAGGAAGCAAGGAGGTGGGGAAGGGAGGAGCGCACTTGCAGAGCCGCGAGGCACTTGCAGAGGCAGCACGCGGAGCGCACGGCCGCCGGCCTGGCAGACGTCGTATGCTCGCGATCTCGCGCGCTGACACGGCGGGCGACGCACCTGCGACGGAGAATGCGATGGTTTGCGACAGCGAGGGCGGTGCGAGCCAGCCGTTGTAGATGTAGCATGTGTCGAGGCACGGCTGCAGCGACACGCACGCCGCCACGCACGCGCTCATGTTGAACTCCGCCATTCCGCCGCCCCGCCGCCGCCACAACGACGAGCCACGCGACGCGACGAGGGAGACTGTGCTATTACGGAGAGAGAGCGACGAGGGGGATAATGCGACGAGGTACGTCGTGCAGAGGACAGCGACGGTCAGTCGTGATGCGCAGCGGGCTTGCTTGAACGGGCGGCTTGAGAACGAATGGAGAAGGCCGGACGCCCTCCCGGCAGCGGCATGGTGAAGACTCACGCGCTCACGGTCGCACTCACGGCGTGGCACTCGAGGCTCGAACAACGGGTTACGACCAATGTTTCATCTAGGTCTTTAATCGCGATGCGGTGTTGTGTCGCAGTGCAGGTGGAGCTCGACGGCGCTGTGCCATGTTTCATCGTGCACTTGTCCCCCCCTTCCTCGCTCTTCGTACGTACCTCGACGCGGTGAGTCGGTGATTCGTCATGCTGCTGCACTGCAACGCCTGTTACGTCAAGTAAAATTTACACTCAATGAAGTTCCAAATAAACACATCAGAAGCAATATATGGGACACATACCGTACGTAGATCCTAGAATGTACACAGCTAATGCACAACAGATTATCTAAGAGCTCAATCCAGCCTAGCTAGACACAACCCGAAGTATGACACAACCACAAAGTAGCAATAAGAACCCAGAGGCAATGAGATAACATGGCCATACAACACGATGTGCATTTACAAGTCTCTCTTCACAAACCGTCCCTGCATAAAAAGGCGGGAGGGGAGAGAAAGGACATTAGTTGGCCCAGAGTGACCTTCCAAATCTAATAAAAGCCATGAAAGCAACCACAATAGCCTTCAAAGTTCAAACCCCATCTCCTCTCCCAGGAGCACACCTTGACGCGGGGGCGGCGGTCGGCGTTGACTTTGCGCACTTGGTAGCGGATGGTCTTGGAGAAGAGCCGGTTGCGCCGCTTCTCCCGGTACCGCAGCACCCGCGCCTCCCGCCCCTCCACATACCCCTCCACCTGCCCCTCCACCTGCCCGTCAATGTGCCCGTCAGTGTGGCCGCCCTCGAGCAGCAGGTCGCTGCACACGCGGTCCAGCCCGTGCGGCACGGACGCCACGCGGCTCACCCCCGACTCACCCACCTCGCCCTCCGGCCCCTCCTCCCGCCCCGTGCTGATCACCGAATGTGGGGTCATGGCCGCCTGCAGTGGCTGGGAGAGGGACGCACGGGGGGAGAACGGACGAGGTGGCAGGGGAGTGGGGAGACACAGCGTGAATGCACAATGAGGCTGGGGCATAACAGCTGGCAGACAGGCAGATGCACATGAAAGCAAGAATAGAATGCTGCAAGGACGAGCACATGAGAAGCAGCAGGTGAGGGGCAGCACGTGAGGGGCAGCACGTGAGGGGCAGCACGTGAGGGGCAGCACGTGAGGGGCAGCACGTGAGGGGTAGCAGGGTGGCAGACAAAGGCACGGACCTGGGGGTCGGAGCACACGGATGGTTGAGTATGGAGGGCCAGCGAGGGGGGTTGGTCGTCCAGCCAGGGCGACGCGTGGGGGCCATGGTGTGACCAGGCGGTGATGATGTCAGCATAGTTGAGGTGCAGTGCCGGACACCACCGCCCGCCCGCGCCCCGCTCCCCCAGACTGCCCAGCACGCCTCGCATCGCTGCTGCACGCCTGTCCGCCCCATCCCTGTCGCCTCGCGCAGCCTCCCCCTGGGCAGTGTGAGAGGAGGGGCAGTGTGGGTGTGCTGCGAGCAGAGTGAGGTGCGACGCCACGCCCTTGAGCTGAGCCTCCACGGCGCCCTCCTCCATCACCACCTCCTCCGCCTCCTCCACCCCCCCCTCCGCCTCCCCTGATGACCGCCCCCCCGCTTCCCCCCCGCACGCGCCCACCTTCCCATTCCACTCCCGCGCCCTCCAGCCCTCCCCGCCCTCCCACCGCTCTGCACCTCTCTCCGCCGGGCTCCCACCCTGCGCTGCGCGCTGCTGCAGGGGTTGCGCGTGCCCGTCGTGGTGCTGCTGGCCGTCGGAGAGGGAGAGCGAGTGGGAGTGGGAGTGGGAGTGGGAGGCGGAGGCGGAGGCAGTGGGGGGGGCGCGCGGGTCCATGACGGACTCTGAG